ATTATGTAAGGAATAATTTCATTTATCTCTTTCAGGTATCCCCACTTCTTCCTAATTCTTTTCATTTTAATATATTGACGCTCTATATCTTCTATTTTGAATATTGTATGGACATGTTCTTTATAAAGGTAAGTAGCATAATTTCTTTTCTTAATGACTTTCTTTTAATAATATTCAAGGATGTTTAGTCTTATCATTTATATTATTATACTTATTATAAATATTAATTTGGGCATTGTAAAATTACAAGAAATAGGACATAGTTCAGGGCTACTCGGATTACTAATGTGGGCAGAAAAATGCGCATCGCTGTTAGGAAATTAGAGCCATATGCGCCCATCAATGAGTTCCGTTCACCAATTGTATGGCCATCAGCCTACGCTGCTGTTCGGTAAATCCCGCCAACAATAATGAAAGAAAGCAATAAACACACTCTCATACACACACACACCTACACACACCAGAAACAAACAATTAACAATCGAATTAAGTTGGCAAATTTTGTTTTCGCTGAAACAAAAGCAGAGAATGGAAACCAAAACAACAGACAGCTTAACTTCTGCCACACGAGCGAAATGAGCAAGAAGGAGGAAGGCTGTGGCAGGACCAGATTGTTGGCTGAGAAGAGAACAAAACAGTCAAAATAATAAAAGTGAAAAAAAAATACGAACACTTCCAGACCCGCCGACTTAGCCTGGCCATATGCGAGTACGAGAACGTGTATCTGTGAGCCACAGAGACACTGCGCAGACATTTCCGCTGCATAAGTCGTCGTAATCTCATTTAAATAATTGCAGCACAACAAAGGCAGTTCAGCACAAATTTTTGTGCAAAACACACAAAAACCAAAGCCGTAAATCTGTGCAGGGCAGCCAAGAGTAGTGAGCACTGAGCACTGAGCGAGCGGTCCCTGCAAGGCAGTCCACGTCGACGGCCGGAAATTAAAATGTAAAACAGCAGCTCATTATACGCTTACCCACACACACACACACACACATATATATATATATATACACTCACACACGCTCGCTCAGGCACTCACATTTTAGCAGGACAAGGAAATCGGGTCGACTGCAACTGAACTGAGCTTAAATGGGGGCCATCTTTGCGGAAGTGGAAGTGCTTGTTGAATTTGCAGAACTTAGACGCAAATAGCCAGAAAACAAATGTCAACAAATCCACAGTGGACGAAGTATATTATTTATCGTCACATGTGACTTTCTATTATGTATATCTACAATTATAATTCTACTACGAAATATTTAAACACGTTATGCTGTTTGCTTGAATCCCATTATATAATTATTGAATAATCGGGTGATATTCGAATTTGTTAGAGGTTCAGTTAAAAGAAATTACAATTATTTCCTGAAAAATCGTCTTCTATTTGGTTTGGTGGACACCATTTGAAAGAATTCATTATTATATGAAGAATTACACATACATACGAGTATCTTATATCATCTTTTTCGGATTGTAATTGGCTTCAAAAACCTGAAATCTGGCTGAAAAATCATCTTCTATTTGGTTTAGTAGGCAGCATTTAAAAGAATCCATTATTTAAATCGTATCAACAGCTTTAAAAATACCATACTGAAGAATCACACATACGAGTATCTTATAGCATATTTTTCTTATTGTAATTGGCTTCGAAAAATCCCAAAAATTAAATATTTGTTTAACTTCGTGAAACGAATTTATTTCATCAATTCTCATTCAACTTAAGTTAACGATTGTCAATAAATATATTTCCATAAATCCTTCTCAGACTTAATGTTTCTTTGGAAGAGCACTTAAATAAGCTTGTTTTCAAACACATTATTCACTGGAAAGTTATGCCTATACCAGCTTTATACCTAATCCTAATTTTAAATTAATTTTTAACTTGTATCTGCGCGCCATAACTTAAGGCATTTATTGCCAAAATCTACGCTAGTTTTTAAAAGAAATCTGCAGTGCCTTTTTCCATCCTTTACCCGAAATTTTTCTACTCTGTAGCTAAGTTTTTCCGAACAATTTGCTTACGTTATAGCAAGAAGACGTTTCGTCTATGCTTTGCTTCTAGTTGCGGCAATTTTGAAAATATCTCACATGCCCCATTGTCCACGTCTTGAGGTCAAGCCCGCTTACTTCCCTTCTTTTTTTTGCGCTTGCCAACATTTGCTTTACACTTTTTTATTGCGATTTGTACTTGCGGCTTAAGGATATTGGTACGTGCTCTTCATGGCAATTGCCTTTGACTGTCGCTGTGGTCTATCAATTGTTAGTGTTGTTGTTCCTCTTGCCGTTACTGCTGTTGTAACTCAGGCTTATTTATGAGCATCTCCATCATAATGGCGTTTAGAGCGTTTCAGGCTGCTCAACACGTTGGCCATTAAAATAGCGCTGGCAAAACAATACATTTTCCGCACATTGCACATCCGCTCCGTGGTACATGCGAGAAGACTTAGTGCCCCGTTCTCACAATGTTGCACTTGCGAGTGCAATAAAGTTGAACATAAAATGGCAAACCAATGCGAATAGAATATGGTTCGACAGTGTTGAGCTAAAAGCCCCCTAGCTGTGCGTGACTCACGCTTGCTGCTGTTAAAGTGTTTTCGCTTTAAACTCTTCCCCCCAGCCACTTGACCACAAAAGCTTAACAAATACCCGAACGTCAAAAAAGTTTGCATAAATACCTGTAGCAAAAAATAAACCGACATAGCTTTTTGCGAATTGCGCAGCAAGCCAAACTACGATTATATGACGCAGTAGAAACAAGGAGCCGTCGGCAATAAATAATAAACAACTTCCTACACACACACACACACACACACACACACATACTCACGAAGAAGAAGAACAAATTTAACCGTAACTTGTTGACGAGCAGCAAAACAAATGCCATTTAATCCGGCATGGTTTAGAAAAACTCGTCGATACATACCTACTTGTAGAAATGTGCGTGCATTGCGCAACTATCGCATTAAGATGTTCCCAGACCGAGCGGACTGGAATGGAATGGCGAGGAAATGTGCCGGGAACCGAGAACAAGCACTTGTTGGGAATTGCGGAGCGATTGCGGACAACGCATCATTCATAATCCGCTCATCAAACGTCAATTCAACGCGCTCGCTGCCTGTCAACGTGTTTACAAAGCATTCGAGCCCGGAGCTCTGGCAGCGGCCCTAAGTGATAGCTCGGCTCTATTACTCGTACCCCGACTACTGCTAGACGCACCCGGAGGCAAAAAATTAATCACCAATACAATGGGAATTGTGCAGCAGTGGCAATAGCAAGGCGGCCACCAGAAGCCGCAGACGCGGTAGAGTGCAACGCAGAGCCAGCTTTTAATTCAATATATACTATAAGTATGCTCGCATACATATGCTTATTGTTGTTGTTGTTGCTCCTAGTTCCAATTCGATTTAGTAAACAGCCCTGGGGCCACACACACGCACACTAATATTCGGGGGGAGCGGCACAAAGAGTTCACAAAGCAATGTGTCTAATGCTATTTGCAGTTCTTATACCTTGCGCTTTAAGTAAAAGGGTATTTTGTTTGTATTTTCTATTTCGAGGACGCCAGCAAATTAGTGAGCTCGATAATGGGAAACGGTAGAGTAATATCCTTGTCCATGCTAGACAATCTATTTAAGCCTTCGAGCTAGAAAATCAGAAATGTTTGGCAGAATGCTCGCATCTCAACACATTGCAGCAGTTTTGTGGAGTTGTTTATAAATAATATGCAAGTATAGTATTTATAGGTTTTATATTATATATATTTATTTGTTTAACTGAATTGCCAAAAAAAATAAGCGCTATCGTCCAACATAGGTTGATGGGGCTTTAGTTTATCGGCAATATTATAAGCCAACACTAAACATTTTATATTTTATTTATGTCCTTTCAGAGACAGACATAACTAATATGTACTAAGTTCTGCTAATAACCTCGACTAGAATCTACATTGTCTACACAGTTTTTATAAAAGCCAGAATTGCACATTTTAAATATATGCAGCTTCACAAAGTTTAGATAAAAGTTATTTTATTTGAATACTCTGTACATGAAATGTACAAGAGTATACAAGTATTAGGTTTGCGGGAGCTGAAAAATGTAACAGGCAAAAGGAGGCGTGGCAGACCCCACATAGTATATATATTCTTGATCAGAGTGACAAGACGAGTCGATCTAGCCCTGTCTGTCTGTCTGTCCGTCTGTCCGTCCGTATGAACACCTGGATCTCAGAGACTATAAGAGATAGAGGCACCAAATTTTGCACAAAGATGCCTTATATGTGTACGCTATACGAGTTTGTTTTATTTTTTTGATTCCCCCCCCCCCCCCACTACCCACTATGGAGGTTTTCCCGATTTTCCATTCGTGTAATCGCCTATATCTCGGAGACTATAAGACCTAGGAACACCAAATTTTAGTCCCAGAAGAAAATGTGTATTTTGGAATTTTCCTCCCTCCCCCCTCTTCACCGTAAATCGTAACTCCCGTAATTCTTGGAATTTCGACTTAAAATTTTGCAAATACACCTAGTTAGTTATTATGTGTCCGTATCACTATTATAGACCGATTTAACAAGAAGTTATATCCATAATTATATTTGCTGTCCAAGCGCTGCCCGCAGATGTTGTTGATGTTGCTGTTTGGTTGACTGCTAACATGTTTACACAGACACGAATAGACGTGCATAGACATTCATTGCTTTGTATATGTGCAATTATACACCCTTTACGTGAGTTCGAATACCGAGAGAGGTAAAATCGACCAACAATTTTTTTTTTCATTTTCTAAATTTTTTTTTATTTTCTATAATTATTTTAAACATATGTACAGAGAACTTCAAAGTCGGGGCACCTTTTTTTACTTGTTTTAAGAACATTTGCTTCAGATGTTAAGGTTAATATACGTATCGAATACGAACGGTCTCGCCAACTATTGATATTATTTCAAATAAATACGTATCTCGTTATATTTAATTCTTTATTGGTATTTTGGATTTGAAGATGAAACTCTATCTAACACTGCTCTTGGGTATTTGCAGTTTTGTTAAAATGCTACAACATTATTAATCAAAAGATTTAAATTTCAGCTTCTAATGCCATTTCGATGATTGCCGCCAAGTGCAATGAAGTTTGCCATCTTGATTATCGTCCAGTTTGTGGATTCAATGGGTCATGTTATAAAACTTTCGGAAATAAGTGCGTATTTGCTAGTAAGACCTGTGAGGAAATAGAAGCAGGAAGGCCAGGTGGGTCTAAAATAAATAATTTGTATTTATAGAGTTAAAATGATTTTTTTTAAGGATACATTCTTATCTACGGATCAGAGTGTAGAGCCTACGACCTCCCGGCTTGTCCAAGGCCTATTTTTGGTTAATTGCGTTTCTTAAATGAACGTCCAAAGTAATATTTGCATTTATTTACTTTGATGCTTAACTGATTTACTTCTTTCTTGGCAAAGCAAGAACATTAAATATTTTTATTTTATTTTATTTTATTTAGAATATCAACAATAATTCTGTCGATTATATAACATAACTTAATATAACAATTTAAACTAAACTTAAAAAGATAAGAAAGCCTAACACAAAGCTGTACAATAACGTCTATTAATGCCTCCGACACGTTGGGGGAATTTTATTTGCCAATTGGCCAGCCATATGTGGTCAGAGACATTATAGACCTAAAAACTATACAAAAAGTAAGTATAGCAGGAAAATTAATTCTATTTAAGAACAAATTAGAAAAAGTAAGAAGTAGAAAGAGGAAAAGAGAAAATGAAAGAAGGGAAGAGAGGTAGAGAAACAGGGAAGGAGAAAGGTGGAAAGAGAGAGCCGAAAAAAAAGAGGTCCGGCAAGCTATGATTTCCTTGGCCAAAATCAAAATATGTACGAAATGATTAAGTGCCCCCCAAAACCCTCCCTTCAATCATTATATATTATATACTTATATATATCCTAGAAGATGACTCAACTAGTGCGATAAATAAGAAGAACTTTGCTCGAATCGTGAATTATTTATTTTAATTTTAATTCTATATTATATACTTATATATATCCTAGAAGATGACTCAACTAGTGCGATAAATAAGAAGAACTTTGCTCGAATCGTGACTTATTTATTTTAAATTTTTTAATTCTATGTTCTCCTTTTTAGTGCTTAAAAGTGTATGTCCTTACATATTTCGAAATATTTCAGAACATTCTTTTTTATGCAAAATTGTTAATCGCCTTTTTACTAACAACTTTTCCATATACTCGCAGTTTCCCTTTGATAGCTCATACATAAAAATATTTGATAAAATTTTAAATTTAAATGCATCAAATGTAAAATTGGATGGGCAATTTTATGATTGGGTTTATTAAGTAATATGCGCTCTAAGCTTTGAAGAACTTGTGGATAGCAAGACAAATTTTCTTATCATTGACAAATTATAGAGTAAATGAAAATAAAACATACATAGCATGGATGTAGTGCTCTAGGGTCTTCTTCTTATACCCATATCAGATGCACAGTAGCCTTGCTGCGCTGACAGGGGCTACAGATTAACAATGGATACAAATAAAAAGTTTTGCCAATTACGATACATATGTATGAACAAACGCGTATCCTCGTATCTTTGCGGTTTGGATCGAAACAAATGCGAACAAATCAAACTGCAAATTGCAATGCACAAACAAACAAACAAACAGACAAACAATCAAACAGACAAACAAGCATATGGAAAATAACAAAAACGAAATGTGTTGCGAATATCTGTGCGAAATGCCAAATGCAATGCTCGATAGTTCCTCTGCCCCTCCATTCACCAGCATTCACAATCAAAATCAACAGCAGCAACGGCAACAGCAACAAAAACAACAACATTGTCGAAAGCGATCAAAGGCAAAAACTGCAAATGCCGACGTCAGAGTCGACAATTTGGCCATTTAACCCTTTGCGAATAGACCATTGTGTTTGGGGAGGCAACATCGAGAGCTGTAGAATTTTGCACTGATGCATTGACGTGATCCGATTTGTCGTCCTTTTGTTGAGGAGCCATATGAGTGTGTATGTCTGCCTGTCTCTGTGGAGGTGCCTTCGGGCATTCAAAGGTCCTGTGCATCGTGAAAATCTTGTTATAAATAAAGAGATCTGCACAAATGCATTTTCCATCATCCAGGCGATGGCAAATTCTGATAACAACTTCAAGGATGTTGCTACATGTTGTTGTTTATGGCGAAGGCTTTACATTCAAACTATACTTATTACACAAGCGCAATCGCAACTGTTTAAAAGCTCAAACATTTATTAGGATGTGCTTTAAGATTTAAGATAACATTATTTAAAGCAGCAACTCAACACTGTTTTTCAACATCATTTTTGAATTCCCAATATTATTGGTTTATCTATACGAGTATAATGATGTGTATATTTTTGACCAAAATATAAAAATCGTATACATATTGAAATTAGAAACTATAGTTACATCACTATCGAACAGTATTAACTTATTTTTGTTGTTCTTAAAAAAATCAACAAAAAATGATAATTTTTTCTTAAATTAAACTAAATTGCTTGCATAAAACCAAATGGAATTCTCTACCATTCCAAAACCTTCAACCTGAAGCTCAGATAATATCCTTGCATTAATGTTTGCCTCACGTATTTTTCAAATTTGGCAGAACTTGCGCTCTAAGTTTTGTGATTCTAACACTATTATTTGCCAGATGTGATGTTTTTGAACAGACAATATTTAAACTACAGGGTATAAAAAGTCTTCTGTTACTCTCTGATAACGAAAATAACAAAACATCATCAGAAGCCTATCTGGGGAATTTCCCAATTGGAAAGTTGACTTTTGGGCAGAAAAATAGTTTGCGCACAAATTAATTGAATTATTCTAACAACTTTCTGGTGTTCATGATAAAAATAACAATTATAACCTTGTATATAACTTATTGGCTTCACTACTGCTTATATATTAAAGAATTACTTTTCATGACTACCTACCCCAAATTTGAGGAATGTGTGTAGAAATTATTGGCCTGCAAAGTGAAAATAAATAAAAAATACAAAAATATAGCTGACTGCCTGTCAGTCTTGTTTGTTCGTGCATATTTTTTTGTGAGAAATGTATCCACACAACAACACAAATAAATGTCAGATAAACGCCTAATCGATATATACACAATCACACAGTTTTATTGTGTATTTATACATATACTCGTGAGTATGTACATATGTATGCTGATACATACATTTATAAGCCCACATACTCGTACATACTTGTATGTGACATTGGGAGCAGCTCTTAAGGTGCTGCTGACGTCAATGGCGAAGTCTTTAATTTGCCAGCAGAGATTCTTAAGGAAAGTTGGGTTGACTTAATTTAAATTTCTTAGCAATTTCATTGAAACTTTTCCACTGCTTATCCGGTTGCCTTTTCGGGTCGTGCCCGACAATTGATTAAGACTGCAGGGTGTAGAGACAGCAGCCGTAAAGTAAAGGCGTTCGAAAAACTTGAAGTCTGCCTCATATTTGTTGTTTGCCAGAAGCAGCCCCGAATACAAAAAAGAAAAACGAGCATAACGATAACGAAAAGCGCTTTTTTCGTTTTTAATGACTCGCCCATAAAAAAGTTGTTAATATTGAAAAGCATAAGAAATCAAATTGGCGCGTGCAAAGGGAGAAAAATGAAAATTGCAGCAGTCAGAGATGAGGAATGCTAAACATATTTAACATGAAGCCAGTTGGGCTATTCTACCAGATACTTGCTGACTTAACCTTACTTGTAACTCGCAGATCCTGCCCATAAGCCATCGTCACTTACCAAGTGGCCGCTGAGTGCTGTCAGCCACTAAAAACATGCACACGCAGAGGATACTCTACGACAACCTGTCAAAAGTGCCCGAGGAGCAATGGCTCTGACAAGGACGAGTACGAATACGAGTACGAGCAGGAGCACAATGACGATGACGAGGACGATGATGACGACGTTGATGAATTCGGCGATTCAGGAATGAATACATGTACGGCACAGTTGTTAGCCATGTGATGCTGAGTGCTTTTGCTATCTTGCCATATTTCCATTGGCGTGACGCAGAAAACAAATGCGAACCACTTAACCCAAGGCACAGTGGCAAAACACCAAGACATACCGCTAAAAAGATTTCCTTTGTTTCACTACCAAAAAATAGTATTCCCCATTAAGCTTGTCCATGCCTAAAGCAAAACTTTTGTTCAACAAAATTGGTTAGTAAAAAAGTAATCAACAATAAATTAGTGCATGTTTTTTGAATGCACAATTTAACTAAAAAACGATAGTTTCTGAAATATATAAATTTAAACTGGAAGACGTTTAATGGATTGAAAAAAAAGAAAATTCTTTAAAAAATTATTCTCAAAAAAATATAATGCCTATTAACAAATTAATTTAAATAAAATTCTGTTTGGATCGTATAAATATTTCTGGATGTTCAGGTCAGGCCACACAATAATTTTTAACGTCGAAACGAATGTTGGAGGATAATGTGACCCTGCTTCAGGTCTAAAGATTAAGTGAGTCTCCTGTGGAATGTCATTTAGAAACTATAGCAATATAAATCATTTCTTTCGGGATAAAGCAAAGAAAGGAATCAGTAATTTTATCATAATATCTAGATAGCTTCGCAGTTCTTAAGAAATATTTACTTCTATTTCAGGCCACACAAACATTCTTAAAGTAAAAAATATTTTGTGACTCTGCTTCAGTTCTAAAGTTTAAGAGAGTCTCCTTAGCGATGTCATTTGGAAACTATTGAAATATAAATCATTTGTTTCGGGAGATATGAAAGAAAGGAATCAGTAATTTCATCATAATCTCTAGATAGTTTCCCAATTCTTAAGAAATTTCAAATTCGAATAAAATTAACATCTGAATGCATTTCATTTATTTCTTTACTATTAATAATAACACCTTTTGAATCAAAGTGTACTTTTCGTGGAATTTTATTCACATAAATTATCATGAAAATGGACAAGAAAGGCGTACTTTATATGTGTAAGAGTATGTATATATGTTTATGCAAACATATATCTTCGTTGACATGGAAACATGCGGTCAGACAACACAGGAATTACCAAACAGATTTTGCAGGCCCGGTCGCTCCTGGTTTCAATTCTTATCACCAAATGCCTAATTAAGTAGCTTAGCCTCGGGCCGCTGACCAACGGCCGCAGCGGCCCTTGGTTTCCACACACTTCCTGGGCCCAAAAAATCAGTCAGTGACAAATCAGGCTGCCAGCCAGTGTTGAGATGGGTCTCTATACGCATAAACATCTTATCTGGGGAGGAAGGCTGGCAGCCATGCCTACCAGGGTGGTAGTCAGTCAGGTCGACTGGAATATTGTCAGTCATTTGTTGTTGTCGCCGATGTCGTTGCCTTCTATCTTGCATCTGCTTCGACCGATTTTGGGTGCTGTCAACGGCCTATAAAATATTTAAAGCTTCTTCTACGTATGCAGATAATGGCTGTAGGTGTGTTCGTCTTCTTTTTAGGCTCAGCCTCTGCCTGTGACTCTGACTCTGACCCTGTCTCTGC